GCGACCGTGCTTCATGGAGTCGCTGTCGCCATCTACGAGCGTAGACACCGTACACTCCCCCTCCCACACCGCAGGGCTGGGTTCACAGCTGCGGAACTCAACAAAATGGAACCAAATCCCCTGCTGTCTGACCAGGCACCACCCGCGGCTGGACCAGACATCCCACAGAACCCGGACGAGCTCTGGGCCGAGGCCCAACGGGCGATATTCGACGAACAGGAGGACGACCCGTTCGGCTTTGGTGGGGGCCTGGACTTCCTGGGCGACGGGCCAGCCAGCGCCAACCCTGCCCCGTCGGGCACCCGCACGGCGCCCCCGACTCCGCCATTGAGAGCGGCAGCGCACCCACATGACAACGCCGCTCATTTTCAAGACGCTGACGAACAGGAGGATGACCTGTTCAGCTTCGGTGGGGGATCGGACGCTTTGGACGACGGACCAGCCAGCGAAAACCCCGCCCCGTCGGGCAACCTCTCGATCCCTACTGCGACTCCGTCCCCGAGAGCGACATCGCCCACATACGATGATATCGGCCACCGCCAAGACGCCGACCATGACCTGGGTGACCCCCGCGGACTGAGTGGCATGGAGGACGCACCGCCGATACCACACGCTGCCGACCATGCCGCCCTACCGAGACGCCAACCTTCTACGCGACCGACCTCAGAGCCCTTGCACGGCATCATGACTGGTCCCACCGCGCAAACCACTCCGCCCCCCCACCGCCGGCAGCCCGCGGGGGCGGCTTCAGCCCCCCCGCAGGGTACTAAACCAGACAGGCCCTCGTGCCCCATCCACGCTTCCATCGTTGCTGAGCGAGAGGAAGCGGCTCTCCCGACCTCTCGGGGCGTGGCCCTAGCGGCTCCAGCCCTGGGGTCGCGTGGGCCCCTCCAGTCACCCTTCAAGGGTGACGGACGACAGCGTACAGGGTGCCGCACTACGCTAGTCCACCATTTGGACAGGCGTACCGAGGACCTCGCCTCTGTCTCGAGGCCCTCGGCTGCTGGCACTGAGCAGCCACCCCTCACCGACCGCGAAACCGAGCTGTCACAGGCTATGGCTGCTCTCCAGCAGAGGTGCTTAGCTCTCGCCGCGGACCTCGCCGCCGCCCAAGCTCGTCAAGGCCCTCTACTCCAGCGCCTCCACAGCGCTGGGCGAGCCTTTGCCGAGCTGCTCACGGCCTCGCCCGATGGTGCCGTGCCGTCACTCACCATCCAAGCTATGCTGTCATCGTTCCGCGGCGCTCCACCTGGTGCCCCGCGCTAATCTCCTCCTTTCTGCCTGCCCGTGTGTACGCGTGGCTCCGCGTCCACGGTGTCAGGGCGTGGGGGCGGGGGGTGCCCCGTCACTGCGCGCCGCTTAGCGGCCAAGCGCCCAACTGGCGGTCTGCCAAGCCGCCTAGCCACGTGTCAGCACGTCGCCTTTCTTGTTGGGGCCTATTTCCTCACGCGGTCTGACAGGTGAGATCATCATCGTCTGTCCGCCGTCTGTAGCGTCTGTCGCACTGCGCCGGGGGAGGGTTTTTTTTTTGTTGCCCGCCCTCGTATCTAAAGGCTGCACCGCCGCAAATAGTGCATGCGAGTTGTCGCACCGCAGTGCGCCTCGCGGACGGACCCTGGTCCGCCTACTTGTCCGATCTCTCTCTCTGTCTCTCTCTCTCTCTCTCTCTCTCTCTCTCTCTCTCTCTATCTCTCTCTCTCGCGTTCCAGTCCTGTCTCTCTCTCTCTCTCTCTCTCTCTCTCTCTGTCACTCTCTCTATATATATCGCTCTCTCTCTCTCTCACTGGCTATGTCTCTCTCTCTCTCTCTCTCTCTGTCTCTCTCTCGCTGTCTCTCTCTCTCTCTCTCTCTCTCTCGCTCTCTCTCTCTCTCTCTCTCTCTCTCTCTCTCCCATTATCCTTCCCGTTGTCTCCATCTCTCTCTCTCTCTCTGTATCTCGCCTTCGCGGTCTCTCTGTCTCTCGCGCTGTGTCGCTCTGTGTGTCTCTCTCTGTGTCTCCTTCTCTCTGTCTCTCTCTCTCTCGCTCTCTCTGACTCGCTCTGTCTCGCTCTCTCTCTCTCTGCCTGTCTCTCGCTCTGTCTCTCTATGTCTCGCTCGCTGTCTCTGGCTGTCTCTCGGTGTGCCTATCTCTCTCTCTCTTTATTTCTGGGTTTCTCTCCATGTGTCTCTCTGTCTCTCTCTCTCTCTCGTTATCGCTCGCTATGTGTCTCTCTCTCTCTCTCTGTCTCTGTCGCTCCCTCTCTCTCTCTGTCTCTCTGTCTCTCTCTCTCGCTCTCTCTCTCTCTCTCTTTCTCTCTATCCGTGCCTCTCTGTATACCTCTCTCTGTATCTCCCTTGTTCTTTCTCTCAATGGCGCGATCTCTCTCTCTCTCTCTCTCTGTCTCTCTCTCTCTCTCTCTCTCGTTCTCTCTCTCTCTCTGTGTCTCTCCCGCTATGTGCCTTTCTATATGTGTCTATCTCCCTCTCTGTCTCTCTCTCTCTCTCTCTGTCTCCCTCTCTCTCTGTGCCTCATTCTCTCTCTCTCTCTCTCTCTCTCTCTCTGTGTCTATCTATCTTCATCTGCGTCTCTCTCTCTCTCTCTCTGTCTCTCTCTCTCTGTGTCTCTCTCTCTCTCTCTCGCTCTCGTTCTCTGTCTCTCTCTCACACTCTGGTCTCTCTCTCTCTCTCTCTGTCTCGCTCGCCGTGTCTCGCTGTCGCTCTCTCTCTCTCTCTCTCTCGCTGTCTCTCTCTTTCTCTCTCTCTCTCTCTCGCTCTGTCTCTCTCTCTCTCTCTCACTCTCTCTTGCTCTCTCTCTCTCTCTCTCTCTCTCTCTCTGGGTGTTTCTCTCTCTGTGTCTCGCTCGCTGTGTCTCTCTCTATGTCTCTCTCTCTCTGTCTCCCTCTGTGTCTCTCGCTGCGTGTCTCTCTCTCTCTCTCTGTCTGTGTCTCACGCTGTGGCTCTCTCTGTGTCTCTCTCTGTGTATCACTGTGTGTCTCTCTGTGTGCCTAGTTGTTTGTATCCGTGTGTGTCGCTCGCTGTGTCTCTCCGTGTGTCTCTCTGTGTGTTTCTCTGTGTGCCTCTCTGTGTGTCGCTCTGTGTGTATCTTGTTGTGTCTCTCCGTGTGTCTCCCTGTGTGTCTCTATGTGTCTCTCTGTGCCTCTCTGTGTCCCCCTGTGCCTATCAATGTCTCTCTGGGTGTCTCTGGGGTGTCGCTGGGGGTCTCTGGCTCGCTGGATGTGCGTGTGCGGGTGTGCGCGGGTGTGCCTGCGTGTGTGCGGGTGTGGTTGTGTGTGCGCGTGTGCGTGTGTGTGTGTGTGTGTGTGTGTGCGTGCGTGCGTGTGTGTGTGTGTGATTGTGCGTGTGGCTGTGTGTGATGTGTGCGATGGTGTGTGAGCGTGTGTGATGGTGTGCGTGTGGAATGGTGTGTGTGATTGTGTGTGAATGTGTGTGTGTGGTTGTGTGTGATTGTGTGTGATTGTGTGTGAGTGTGTGTGAGAGTGTGTTTGGTTGTGTGTGATGCTGTGTGTGGTTGTGTGTGATTGTGTGCAAGATTGTGCGCGTGATTGTGTGTGAGTATGTGTGTGAGTGTGTGTGTGTGTGTGTTTGTGTGTGCGATTGTGTGCAAGATTGTGTGCGTGGTTGTAATGTGTGATTGTGTGCGTGACTGTTTTTTTGTGCGATCGCGTGTGATATTGTGTGTGATTGTGTGTGGTTGTGTGTGAGTGTGTGTGTGGTTGTGCGATTGTGTGTGATTGTGTGTGAGTTTGTGTGTGATTGTGTTTGCGATTGTGTGTGTGTGTGTGAGAGATTGTGCGTGGGAGTGTGTGTGATGGCGTGTGTGCTTGTGTGTGATTGTGTGTGTCATTGTGTGTGATTGTGTGCGTGGTTGTGTGTGATTGTGCGTGTGATTGCATGTGATTGCGTGTGATTGTGTGTGATTGTGTTTGCGATTGTGTGTGATTGTGTGATTGTGCGTGTTCGCCAGATCGTGTGCTTGAGTGTGTGCGAGTGTGGCTGATTGTGTTGTTGATTGTGTGTCATTGTGGGTGCGTCATTGTGTGTGAGTGTGTGCGTGACTATGTGTGATTGTGTGTGTGCTGTTGTGTGTGATTGTGCGTGAGTGTGTGTGTGGGGGGGGGGGGGGTGCGTGTGTGCGCGTGCGCGTGTGTGCGTGTGATTATGTGTGGTTGTGTGCGTGTGCTTGTGTGTGTCTGTGTGTGTCTGTGTGTGAATGAGTGAGCGAGTGTGTGTATATGTGTGGTGTGCGTATGTATGTGTGTGTGCAATTGTGTATGTGAGTGTGGTGTGTGTCGTGTGTGGTGTGTGTTGTGTGTTGTGTGTGTTGTGTGTGGTGTGTGTGTGTTGTGTGTGTTGGGTGTGATGTGTGTGCGTGTTGTGTGTTGTGTGTTGTGTGTTGTGTGTATATGAGTGTGAGTGTGAACGTGAGTGTGTGTGTGTGTGTGCGTTCGTGCGCGTGCGCGTGTCCGTGCGTGTGTGCGCGTGTGTGTGTGTGGTTGTGTGTGTTTGTGTGTGTTTGTGTGTGTGTGTTTGTGTGTGTGCGTGTGTGTGTGCGCGTGTGTGTGTGCGTGTGTGTGTGTGCGTGTATGTGTGTGTGCGTGTATGCGTGTGTGTGTGTGCCTGGGTGTGCCTGGGCCCCTTCATGTACATGCAGATCCCGTCGCCCGAGTGCAACCACCCCTGGCGCCCCCCCCTGGGAGTGCTGAAACCAGCGCCTCGCCTGAGCCATCCTCGTTCCTGTGGCGCGAGCGAGGGCCTCGCGTGTGAGCGACCCTGAGTGTGAGTGAGCCTGCGCGTGAGCCTGCGCGAGAGTATGAGCGAATCTGAGTGCGCGTGAGTCTGAGCACGAGTGGGCGTGTGCCTGTACTCCTCTCCGTGCCCCCGGGCCCCTTTCACGTCACGTGCAGGCCTCGCCTCCCGAGGCGGCCGCACGGGCGGGGCTCGCCTCGGGCAGCGCGGGCGCGCGGCGCCGAGAGGGATGCCCTTCCCCCCTTTCCCGGCAGGCGGCGGCGTGGCCCCCCGAGGGCGAGGTGCTGGACAGGCGGTGGGCCCACCCCGAGGAGGGCCTCGCCATCCAGGCGAGGGGGAGGATCGAGGACTGAGGAGGATCGAGGATCGAGAAGGGGGGGTCGAGGATCGAGGGGGATCGAGGGCCGAGGGGGTCCAGGAGGGGGATCGAGGCCATCCAGGATAGGGGATCGAGGAGGGGGATCGGGGACCGAGGAGGGGGATCGAGGAGGATCGCGGAGGAGGAAGAGGTGCCCACACCGCTGCCCTTCCCTCGTTTTCCCTTTGGGTGGGCTCCTGGGAGGCCCTCATCGCCACCGCTGGATTCGCTTCGAAACGTTGGTCAGAACGCACCCCAGGAGAGGTCCAGGGAGTAGTGGTATCGTTATCTGTTGGCTTCCCCTCGGTCGAGGAGGATGAGGAGGATGAGGAGGTGGGGGAGGGCTTCGCCCTGGCCTCTTTGCCTGGTTCTTCCCCGCACTGCCCTGTTCTGTTTGCATGGCTCTTCCCTGCAATCGCCTGCAGTCGAACAGGCTGGCCACCGTGCCAAAGTCGGCTTCTGTCACATACCAGCTGTTTACCATCCAGTCAACCCCCGCATAGTAAGGATGGGCAACCTTCCCAAGGGTACCCTTGCACCCTTCGCCGCTTTCGCTGGCCGCGCCCCGCTCGAAAAGCTTCGAAATGGGCGTCCAAGGCCCTTGCATCCTTATCGCGCATCCTTCCTATGCTGGTTGGCTGTACTGACGCTGCCATCTGTGCGGATTGATGTCCGACCAGCGCAGAAGGAGGAGGAGGGCGAGAGGGATAGGCAGAGACGGGAGGACCAGCGTAAGCACAAGAACCATCAAAGATGTTACAGCAAACCTTCCCTCCAAGCTCTCTCTTCACAGGTCCTTGCAAGGATGTATTCTTATTGCGGGGAGTGGCACAGTCGAACGGAACCGTTTGAGAATCCTCACCCGTGCCAAAAACACCCTTCCTGGGGCTTCAACGCTCTGGGTCAACTGAACTGCTACGTCCTAACAATCCTAAATCGTGCCAGAACCAGTTTCGTGGGACTTCAACGCCGCGCATCAACTTAATTGTTGCGTCCTGACAGTCCTCAATCGTGCCAGATCACAATTCCCGTCACCTCAACCAGATGCATCATTCAAACGGTCGCAAATGGCAGACGAATGCGCGCGGCGCTAAGGCGAGGGCCACCTCTTGAAAGGGAACCGCCCTCCATCCTTGAAATTGGCGCACACTTTTCAGACGGATGTGCGCGGCGCTTAGACCACATTTGGAAAACGACTTGTCACCTATCCTTGAAACTGCTGCAAGCCTTTAGACGAATGCACGTAGCTCTAAGGCGAGAGCCACATGTTGAAAACGACCTGCCCTCCGTCCGCGAAATTGCTGTAAATATGTAAGACGAAGACGAATGTGCGCGGCGCGAAGGCGAGAGCCACATTTGGAAACGATCCGCCCTCCATCTGTGCAGCAGTAGCCCTCCATTTTGAAACCCTTCGGGATCATATGTTGTGAGGACGTCTCAGTCGAAACGCCCGGCCCGCCCTACCGACACGCCTGGGGTACGACAGGGCGGAGTTGTAGAAGTAAGGAAACAGGGTGGAGGAGGAGGAGGTGGAGGAGGAGGAGGACGACGACGACGACGAGGACAAGGACGAGCCCTCTGGAGGTGCTCGCGCGCCACGTCGTGCGCCTCGGGCGCTCCGGCCGCCTGCTCGAGCAGGCGATCGGGAACGCCTACCGGGCCGCCCCTGGCGGGCGCGACGCCTGGCGCTGCTGGAGCTTCCTGTCCAGGCGAAGGGGCCGGGCGGGCGAGGAAGGAGGAGGAGGACGAGGAAGAGGAGGAGGAGGAGGAGGAGGAGGAGGAGGAGGAGGAGGAGGAGGAGTTACCACGAGTTACCCCTCTGCCGCAGGCAGTCTCTCCCGCCCCGTCGCGGCCCCCCGCCGCGCGGCGCGCGCCGCGCACGGGGCCAACCGCTCTGGGGGCCGCGCCCCTGAGGGCCGCCCACCTCTCCACGCGCGTCTTGCGGAGGCGCGTGGAGCAAGGCGGCCGAGCACGTCCTCTGTGTTGTCCGCGCTCCACCCCCGAGATCCTCAGCACCCCGCGAAGCACCCTCGGGGAGGCCGCCCCGAGCGCCCCTCGCGGCATGCCTTCCAAGGGAGGTGGCAGTACTAGGCCCCTCCAGTCTGGCGCGGCCGTGCTGCTGGCCCTCTTTGTCGTGCTGGTCTCGGTGAAGCTCGGTGGCGTGGTGCTGTTGGGCGTGTTGCTGCTGGTCGCCGTCGTGCTGTTCGATCGGTCGGCTGGCAGCGTAGAGGAGCCTGCGGACCCATTGCCTGCGGCGTTCCTCGTCGATGCTCGTTACAGTCACTTCGGCTGTCGAGGGTCGTTGAGGTTGATGCGCACAGGTTTGCTGTTCGTCGCATTGTGGTGGTTGCTCAATCTGCTTGTCCTGGTGGTGGTCGGGCTGATGTGGAGCGGTTGGGGAGCGCGGGCAAGGGCCTTCAAATGCATCTCCTCGCTGATCTCCCCTGACCGCCCCTTCTGGTGGACGCGGGGAGTACTCGTCCTCCCCCTCCACACCGTTGCGGTAAACGGCTTGCGTCCTTGGTGGTGGAGTCTGTGGGGGTTCGGGTTCGTCGGGTTCGTTGGTCTGCGTCAATGTGGGGGCTGGGCTGTTGGGTCCATGGTCGAGCACGTTGGCAGCGGTCCCGGTGTCGTCGGGCGTCCTGGTAACGGTGCCGTTTGCTCGTTCGGTGAGCTGCTCAAGTAGTAGTTTGTGCTCGGGTGCCCTTTGAGCCTCGTCGCAGTCCAGGTCGTTGGGCAGCGCTGATTTCTCGTGGTCGTCGGTGTAGTCCATGTCGCTAGCGTAGGCCCTTTGAGCTTCTGCTGCAACATGTGTATACCCCTCCGAATCATGCATGTTGTCGCTGACGGCGTGGTGCCATCCTTGCGGTCCAAGAGCTTCCCAGCGGCTGGCGTCGGTCTGGTCTTGGTCGAGTGATGGCTGTGGGGATGTCGTTGCTTGAGTCTTGGGGCGCCTCTTCTTTTGGCGTTTGGCGGTAGTTGGCTGCTTGGTGGGTGGGGCAGGGCGTGGGAAAGCCTCCGGCGTCTGCAGTCGTCGGGCGTGGTTGGTGCCCGCGTCCGCTCGAATAGTGATGGCGACCCCGATGTGCGGCTTCCATGGTACATCGTGTACTGGTTGTATTCCTCGCACGAGTCGTTGTCCTCCTTCGTTGACGAGCGCGTAGCCGATGTTGAATGGCTTCACGTCGCCGAGGAGGCCCGTGCACTGGTTGTCGTCGAGTCCCACGTAGGCGGTGGCGCCAAGGGCTGTGGTCCAGCCTGACTGCGCCAGGTCGGCGTAGGAGCGGTTGAAATCGCCGCAGATGATCCACGGCATGTGTGTGTTGGCGAGGAAGGCGGCCAGGGACGTCAGCTTCCTGAAGTTCCCGCCGCAGGTGAGGGAATGACGCGGGTCGAGGTAGAGGGAGATGATGAGGAGCTGGGAGCCTCGCAGGTGCAGAGTGACTGGCGTCCAGTCGCACATGCGGTAGGTGGCGTGGGTGTCGTCGGCGTCGTAGGTGGTGGCGTCCGAGACGAAGGTACGTTCTCCCCGATGTCGGTGTGTCGTTGCCTTGTGGTGGCCCTTGGTGAGGACTCCCGTGCCCCCGCAAGTTCCACTGAGGCTGCTCGCACTGGCGCGCGCCGCGGTGAACTCTGTTGAGAAGCTCATCTTCTGCAGCGCGTGCTCCGTGTCCGCGAGCTGGGCCTGGGGCAGGTGGGCCTTCTGGATGGCGTAGACGTCGCAGGGCTGCCGTACTCCGTCTCGATTTAGCCAGTTCAGCACCGCGGGGCCCCAGGTCGTGATGTTGGCGCTGAATATGTGGCGCTCGTGGAGGGAGTCGTCGCCGAACTGCCGCCCCCCACCGCGCCGTGACTTTCAGCAGGATGCGGAGGCCTGGGGTGAGGCCGCCGCGTCCCGCCGCTGCTGGAGGTAGTCCTCCGCGGCGGTTGGTACCTTGCTGTCGTGGGCGTCGTTGTCGTGCTGGGCTGCAGATCCAGAGGCGCCTGCGGTTGGTGGAGCAGCGGCGGTCGGCGCGTCTGCGGCTTGTCCCGTCGCATGCTGCTCCGCCTTCCGCTTCGTGTAGGCCTGCTGGATCTCGGCCCGCCCCTGCTCGTCCTTGGCTTTGGCGGCCTGGAGGTGCTGCTTCGGCTGGCCCGCGAACTCCCTGGTGTTGCGCTGCAGCTGGTCGAGCACTTGTCTCTTGGCCCCGTCCACGGCCTTCTTTCCCTCGGCGTCGAGGTCTTCGTCCTGGCGGAACTCGCCCTCGATCTCGGCGATGTGCACGTCGCTGGGCGAGAGCAGGTCGGCGGCGTCCGTGTCCAGCAGCTGCTCGATGATGCTCTTCGGCGCCTGCTGCTTGCCCATGGCCTCGATTTCGGCCTCGGCGTTGACGACTGCGTTCGCGCTCTCCTGCAACCTTTCGCGGGCCTTGGACGCCTTCGCTTCGGCCAGCACCTTCTGCTCGTACGCCCAGTTGTAGGTGCGGGTCGCGGAGTCGAGCGTCTTCGCCGCCTCCGCGAGGCGCACCGCCTTGGACTTGGGCGGCTTCTTCTTCTCGGGGACGTTGAGCGCGTCGGCCACGTGCGTCAGCTGCTTCGCGATGTCTTCGCCGTTGGCTGGCTTCAGCGAGCCGATGGACCCTGTCACCGTCCGCAGCGCTGTGGCGAGCCTGGCGACGCCCTGCTCGGTGGGGGAGGCGGCATTGTCTTGCGACCGTCCTCTGCCTCCAGCAGCCGAGCTCGCGCCTCCGTTGTTGCCGATGGGTTGCTGTCGCCACCATCCGCTGCCGCTGCTGGAGTCTTGGCCGCCTCCCGTCTTGGGCCTGGCGACTCGGGCTCCGCAGCTGCACCAGTAGTCGTTAGACGAGCGTGGCGTGCCACGACCACTCCTTGCAGCGCTTGCAGGTGGCCCATGTCGTGGGCGACTGGCTGCCACGGTGCATCTTGGGAGCGGCACTGCCGTGGTGATCGTTCAGCAGTCTCTGGTCGCGGTCTAGCTGCAGCCGCCTCCTCGCCGCTGCACGCTGGCGCCGCTCCCTGCGGTGCCAGGCTGGCGAGCGGGAGCGCGCCTCCGCAGCGCGGTGTCGCCCCTCCGTGGGGTTGGGGGCTATCGCTCGGCGGGCGCCCGCGCCGAGGGCAATATGCCTGCGGGCCCGCGCGAGAGCCACCTAGGAGGAGGAGGAGGAGGACGAGGAGGAGGAGGAGGACGACGACGATGAGGTGGAGAAGGAGGAGGAGGAGGACGAAGAGGAAGAGGAAGAGGAAGAGGAGGAGGAGGAGGAGGAAGAGGAGGAGGAGGAGGAGGAGGAGGAAGATGAAAAGGAGGAGGAGGAGAGGGAGGGGAGGAGGAGGAGGAGGAGGAGGGAGGAGGAGGAGGAGAGGACGGAGAAGGGGGGAGGAGGAGGAGGAGGAGAGGAGGAGGAGGAGGAGGAGGAGGATGAGGAGGGATGAGGAGGGACGAGAAGAGAGACGACGACGACGAAGGAGAAGAGAGGAGAGGAGGAGGAAGGAGGAAGAAGAGGAGGAGAGGGAGGAAGAGGAAGAGGAGGAGGAGAGGGAGGAGAGGGAGAAGGGAGGAGGAGAAAGGAGAGGAGGAGAGGAGGAGGGGAGGGGAGGAGGAGGAGGAGGACGGAGGAGGAGAGAGGAGGAGGGGAGGAGGAGGAGGAGGGGGAAGAGGAGGAGAGGAGGAGGAGGAAGAGGAGGGAGGAGGAGGAGGAGGAGGAGGATAAGTAGGTGGCGGAGGAGGAGGAGGAGGAACGGGAGGAGGAGGAGGAGGAGGAGGAGGAGGAGGAGGAGGAAGAGGAGACGGAGAAGGGCGGGTGGAGGAGGGGGAGGAGGAGGAGGAGGAGGAGGAGGAGGAGGAGGAGGAGGAGGAGGAGGAAGAGGAGGAGGAGGAGGAGGACGAGGACGAGGACGAGGAGGAGGAGGAGGAGGAGGAGGAGGAGCCTCGTGCCTCCCTCCTCTCTTTCTTCCCTCCGCGCCACCAGCTCTGGGCAACGACGCGTCGGCGCGACACGGTGTCCACGCCCCCCGCTTCAAGCGCCAACGTCCCGAGCTTTCCCCGGCCTCCCGCCCCGCGGCACGGAGCGACACGCGATTCTGGCATGGCGTGTCGCCTGGTCGCCGCTTCGACGTGCTCCCTCGATGCTTCTTCGATGCTTCTCGATGCAGAAGGCATTGGCCGTGTTCCCTCGATGCTGCTCCCCATGGGTGCTGGCCGCCTCGCCGCGCCATCCCTGCCAGAGCCGTCAGGCAAGACGGCCTAACCGCGTACGTGGACGAGAAGATGCGGCTGCTCGACCTGTACGACAAGTACAAAGCGCCTGGCGCCTCGTTCAGCACGAGGCAGGGAGGGCCTGGATTAGTCAGGGCCCCCCAGACGGTGTGGTGACCACACCGTGTGGTGAGTCGGTGGGGATTCAGAATCGCCGCAGGGTTTGGGGACCTGGGTCGTGCTCCAAGGACGTCTCAGACGACCAGGGCATCCGAGGTCCCGAAGCCGTGTGGCGACGGACCCTGCGGTGAGGTCTTTGCGGAGTTCGAGGTCTCCGCCGGGTCTGTCGCCACACGGCTTTGGGACCCCCAAGTTAGCCTTGGAACGGTGAGCGCGCTGCTTCCGTCTCGCAGCGCTGTGGGAGAGGTTCCTGTCCGGACACGTGCATTTAGCGCAGCCCCTAAAACAGGGGAAGAGAGGACGGATGGAAGGGGGACGGAGAAGGATGGAGCACGACAGGGATTAGCAGGAGAGGGGCTAGCAGCAGAAAACACGCGGCAGAACCAGACGGGCTGATCGGGCGAACAGACCCTAGCGGGCGGGTCGGGAAGGCGGGCCCAGGCGGCCAGGTCGAGCAAGCGGGTTGCTGAAGCGTGCATCCTGCATGAATCGCGAGTAGGTCTCGAGCGATGGCGCGATCGCCAGGTAAATCGTGAGAAAGGCCAAAGCGAGAGCGTGATTCCTGAATGTCGAGGGCGCGGCGTCCGAATACATTTCGAGGAAATCCCACGCGAGAGTGCGATTCCTGCATACATTGTGAGGAAGTTCCGCGCAAGAGCGCGATTTGGGAATACATTGTTAGGAAGTATATGGCGGGAGCCATTCTTGTTGTAACTCGGGGGCCAGGGGCTCAGTTTGAACACGCAGACGTTCCCTGATACATAAACAGGGTGAGAGCCCCGGGAGGAGCACTGTGATTGAAAAACATAATTGGCACCGGTGGAGAGATGAACAATATTTGTTCAAGAATGAGAGCCAAACAACAACACCAGTAATAACAATAACTACAACAGCAGCAACAACAATCATGTCAAGACTGTTCGCTCTTATCTGCTCGCGTGCCATTTCAACACGTATATCCCAAACCCTCGATGCCCGCCCTCTTCGTTTGCGATCGTACCCCCATGGGGGTATCGGAGGTGAGGGGTGAGATCGGAGTGGGACGGAGAGCCCCCCTACCGTGGAATCGGTTTCGGTTTCGTGTTCGTGCGTGCCGTGCGTGCGGGCGAGGCGAAGCTGCGTGGGCGGGCGCGAAGAAAGTCTCCTCCGGCTGAGGCGCGGCCGGACCAAATGATTCCTCTCTGGGGGCCGGTGTCGCGCGGTGTCCCGCCGGTGTCCCGCCTCCGGAGCAAAAAGCACGTGGCAGAACCAGACGGGCAGATCGGGAAGGTAGGCCCTAACAGGCGGGTCGGGAAGCAGACCCAGGCGGGTCGAGCAAGCGGGTTGCTGAAGCGTGCATCCTGCACGAATCGCGAGTAGGTCTCGAGCGATGGCGCGATCTCCAAGTAAATTGTGAGGTAGGCCAAAGCGAGAGCGTGATTCCAGAGATGTGAGGAACTCCTGCGCGAAAAACGCGATTGGGGAATAAATTGTGAGGAAGTATCAGGCGGGAGCCGCAGTTGTTGTAAACCGGGGGCCATGGGCGCAGTTTGGTGACACCCCACTGTCCCTTGTAAAAAAGTGGGTGCGAGCTCCGAAGGAGGGGCATTTCAATGGAAAGCATACAATGGTTCTGGAAGGGGGGGTCAACAACAAATACTCTTTATAATTGAGAAGTCAACAACAGCCAGCCACAACAGCAACAGCAACAACAACAACAACAACAACAACAACAGCAACAGCAACAACAACAGCAACGCCAACAGCAGCAATAGCAACAGCAACAACAACAGCAACGACAGCAACAACAACAACCACATTACCAACGACTACAACAACAGCACCAACGCTAACAACATCGAGAACGACAACAACAACAACAACAACAACAACAACAACAACAACAATTACTAGCACGTGGGGACACTCCGTTCTCACCAGTGCCAGGGTTTTCATACGACGCCCGCCAATACCCCCACTTTGTGGGGGGGCCGGTTCAAGCTCTACCACATTTCCAAACGACTCTTCGCCACCACCCACACCCAGCTTCCCGCCCTATGGCGTTCGGACACTTCACTTCGTGGCCTGCGGACGACCGTGGCTACTACACTGGCGCGTGGCTACTACACTGGCGGATTGTGGCCCCTGGCAGGCGCGCGAACGCCGTTGAAAGAGCTTGCGAAAGTAGCTCGCGCGAGCTCATGTAACATAAATGTTGAAAAACCATTGGTTTTTAAGGATTCGGACAGCGCGCGCGGGTAGAAATTTTGAAAATCCGTGCACGTGTTTTTCGAGGACCTACGGTGCGATTCGTGCGATTTTATGATACGCGGTGCTGAAATTCTTAAGAAACCCAATGGTGTTTGAAGATTTCGGCGTGCGCGCGCGAAGAAAAAACGAATGTGTCCCATATGGTATTATTTGACAGGGATGATGGCCCTGGCAGGCGCGCAACCGTTGTTGCAGAAGTTCGAAGCACGTGAAAAAGTTGCTCGCAAGAGCCCGTTTGACAGAAATGTTGAACAAGTATTGGGTTTCCTAAGAAATCCGCAAGAGCGCGCGGGATGAATGTTTGAAACTTTTGTTTTGAAGAACCATTGGGTTTTTCATGTTTTTATGTTAAAATCGCTACGAAAACTAAGGTTTTGGAAGGATTTCATCCTGCGCGCGCGAGTGTGCACTTCGTTTCATTTTTTGCAAAGGATTCTTGAAGTTTGGCTATGTTAGAACAAGACATGTCATTTTATATTGTTTTTTGACAGGGAAAGCGGGCGTCAACAAAACAACCGGATCCGGACTCCCCCGTTTTGCCTGAGACTTCCTCACGAAAATGATGAAAATGTGGCTGCGGCCTAGGCGCGGCGAGGGGGGCGTGCACCAGGGGGCCCAACAATAATTATTCTTTAGAAGTAATAATATTCAACAACAACAGCAACAGCAACAGCAACAACAGCAACAACAACGGCAACGACAGCAACGGCAGTAGCAACGGCAGTAGCAACAGCAGCAACACGAACAGCAACAACAACAATACAACAACACAGCAACAACAACCACAACAACAACAATCATGGTATGACTGCTCGCTCTTTTCTGCTCGAGTGCCATTCAATGTGTAACTCCCAAACCCTCGATACCCGCCCCCTTCGTCTTCGATCGAACCCCTCTTGGGGGTGTATCTGTCTTCCCTGCAGACCGGGCCCCGGCAAGCGACGGGGTGGCCGCGGACCGTCGGCCTGGCCAGCGGCAGCGCTGATCGGCGGCAACCCGACCCCAAGAGGGACGGACATTGGACCGACCACGACGAGGACGACGACGACGACGACGGCGGCGACGGCGACGGCGACGGCGGCGACAACGACGACGACGACGACGAGCGAAAGCGAGAGCGAGAGCGAGAGCAAGAGCGACAACGGGGCCACGAAGGGCAGGAAGGGGGCCACGAAGGGCGACAGCGGGGCCACGAAAGGCACGCGCACGGGGCCAACGGCGCGAACGAGCGGGGGCCACGAAGAGCAGATAATGCGGGGCCACAAAGGGCAACGACGGGGCCACTGAGGGTAGCAACGGGACCACGTAGGACAGCAAAGGGGCCACAAAGGGCGACAGCGGGGCCACGAAGGAAATGCATATGGGGCCACGAAGGGCGTGAACGAGCGGGGGCCGCGAACGGCATACGTATATTGGGCTGCGGAGGGCAAGGACGGGGCCATTGAGGGCAGCAACGGAGCCACGAAGGGCAGCGAGGCCGCGAAGGGCGACGGCGGTGCCACGAAGCGCGCGCATATGGGGCCACGACGGGCGAGAACGAGCGGGGGCCACGAAGGGCGTACATACACGGGGCCACGAAGGTTTGCAACGGGGCCACGAAGGGCAGCGAGGGGGCCACGAAGGATCGCTACGGGGCCACGAAAGGCAGCGAGGGGGCCGCGAAGGGCTGCAACGGGGCCACGAAGGGCAGCGAGGGGACCACGAAGGGCTGCAACGGGGCCACGAATAGCAGCGAGGGGGCAACGAAGGGCTGCAACGGGGCCACGAATAGCAGCGAGGGGGCAACGAAGGGCTGCAACGGACTCACCAAGGTGAGCGTTTTTTATTCAGTAGTTTGCCGATCGGCGCGGGCCCTGGCACCACCACCCCTTTCCATGTATTAGATATTGGCTATTTCTGGCGCCTGTTTCGAGCAGGTCGAGTCCCTCCCTCATCGGACACGTTGTTACAAACAGGCGCATCAAGCAGGGGTCCGCAGCCAGACCTCACCACGAAGAGCTGCAACGGGGCCACGAAGGGCAGAGAAAGACCGATTCCTGAATACATGCTAAGGAAGTCCCAAGCGAAAGCGCGACCCTTGAGTAATATGCGAGGAAGTCTCAGGCGGAACGGGGCTGCTGGCTAAATTGTGAGGAATTCTCAAGCGGGAGCCATTGATGTTGTAATCTGGGGGCCACGGGCGCAATTTGAGTCCAGGGGCCCAGGGGAAGCCTTTCAATTGAAAAAGCACAATGGTCACCGGAGGGGAAGACCAACGGTAATTATTCTTCCGTTGTGAGAGTTCAACAACCGCAGCACCAACATCATCGGCAACGGCAACGGCAACAGCAACACGAATATCAGCAGCAATAACAACAACAGCAATAACAACAACAACAACAGCAGCAACAGCAACAGCAACAGCAGCAACAGCATCAACAATAATCACAACAACACCAACAACCGCAACGGCAACAGCAACAGCAACAACAGCAACAACCACAGCAATAGCAGCACCCTAGCAACACAGCAACTATACCACCAGCAACTTCAGGAAGGGCATCAAAAACAATATCCTCAACAACAACGACAACAACAATGATTATAATACTGTTCGCTCTTACTTGCCCGTGTGTCAACCGAAACGAGTTCCACACACCCTCGATACCCGCCCTTGTTGTTTTCGATCACGCCCCCTTTGAGGGGAATCTTTCTCTTTGCGGGGGGGGCGGCGGGTTGAGACAGGCGAGCAAACCTGAACGGGCGGACAACCCTTTGTGGGCGAACATGTGCCCGCCATTTGAATTGGTGTGGGCCCTGCAAAAAGAGGAGGGGGAAAACGAGGGCGAACGGGAGGAAGGGAGGGGGAGGGACGAAGGAAGAGGGAAAACGCCAGCAGAAAAGGAGCGAAGAGGGGGGCGGTTGATTAGAGATTAGAGGCAGAGAGAGAGAGAGAGAACAAAAAAAAAGGTAAGGAGAGAGAGAGAGGGGAGAGAGAGAGAGAGAGAGAGAGAGAAAAAAAAAAAGAAAGAAAGAAAGAAAGAGGGAGGGAGGAGGCAGGATAGCTGAGGGAGAAGGGAGGAGGGATATGAGGGAGAGGGGATAGGGCAGAGAGGCATAAGGATGAGGGAGGAAAGGAGGGAGGGAGAAGGGATGAGAGGACGGAGGAGGGAGGAGGGAGAGGGAGGAGGAGCAGGAAGGTAAGAGTGTGAACGTTCGAGGAAGTCCTAGGCGAAAGCGCCGTTCCTGAAGGAAATCTCGGGCAGGAGCCCACGACGGGCGGGCGATCCCCTGACGGGCGGGTCGGGCGGGTGGGACATTCAAACGTGATGCCTGAGAATGGCGAGGGCGCGCTTATCCAATAAATTGTGACGGCGTCCTTGGCGCAGCGTGCTTCAGCGTCGAAAGCGCGATTTCTGAATAGATTGCATGGGAGCCACAGGCGAGAGCGCAACTCTTGAATAAAATGTGAGGGGTTCTCTGGCGGGAGCGGGGGTCTTGCTTAAATTGCGAGGAGGTCTTGGTTCAATTGCGAGGAAGTCGCAAGCGGGAGCGCCGTTCCTGAGTTGAGTGTGAGGAAGTCTCAGATGGGAACGGGGGTCCTGACTAAATTGCAAGGACGTCACCGGCGGGAGCGCCGATGCTGAGTAAATGATGAGGGGAGTCTCAGGAACGGAGGTCTTGAGCAAATGCGGAGGAAGTCTCAAGCGGGAGCCGCTGTTGTTGTAATCCCGGGGGCCAGGGGGCCAGTTTGAGCAGGATGACTTCCCCTGTCAAAAAAACAGGGTGCGAGCGTCGAGGGGCACACTTTGATTCAGAAAAAACCGTATGCACCGGTGGGGGCAATAACAAGTATTCAGAAGTGAGAGCTCAACAACAACAACAACAACAACAACAACAACAACAACAACAGCAGCAGCAGCAGCAACAGCAACAGCAACAGCAACAGCAACAGCAACAGCAATAACAACAACCACAACAACAACAACAACCACCACCACCACCACCACGACTGCGACGATGACGACGACGACAACGACGACAACGACGACAGCCGCAGCAGCAACAGCAACAGCAACAGCACAAGTAACAACAAAGAACAAACAAACTGGGAGACCTCCAGGGAAGACGTGCCTGGAATGCCGCCAGAGATCTGCGAGGGCGTGCTGCCTCTGAGGCTCGCCGCTCGCGCCCCCCGCGGCCAGCCTCCCAAGGGAACAGAGGACCCACGGCGCTCTGCGCGAGGAGGAAGAGGAGGAGGAGGAGGAGGAGGAGGAGGAGGAGGAGGATGAGGAGGACGAGGAGGAGCAGGAGGGGAGGAGGAGGAGAAAGAGGAAGAGGAAGAGGAGGAGTGAGCGGAGGAGGAGGAGGAGGAGGCGGAAGAGGACGAGGAGGGAGGAGGAGGAGGAGGAGGAGGAGGAGGAGGAGAGGGGGGAGGAGCGAGGAGGAGGAAAGGGAGGGGAGGGGGGGAGGAGGGAGGGGGTCCTCCTCCACCTCCTCCACTGGGCCGTCAGCCCCCCCACCATCGTCGCCGCAGCAGGGCGCAGCTCGGAGAAGGGTTCGGAATGGTACTCAGAAGGAGCCAGGGACCAGCTGTTCAGCGGGTGCTGGCGGAGGGGGGGGGAGGGGGAGGGGAGGGGGAGGGGGAGGAGGAGGAGGAGGAGGAGGAGGAGGAGGAGGAGGAGGAGGAGGAGGAGGAGGAGGAGGAGGAGGAAGGAGGAGAAAAGGAGGAGGGGAGGAGGAGGAGGAGGAGGAGGAAGGAGGTGGAGGAGGAGAGGAGGCGGAAAAGAGAGGAGAAGGAGGAGGAGGGGATGGAAGAGGAAGAGGACGAGGAAAAGAGAAGGACAAGAGGAATGGAGGAGGAGGAGGAGGAGGAGGAGGGGAGGAGGGGAAGGAGGAGGAGAAGGAGGAGGAGGAGGAGGAGGAGGAGGAGGAGGGAGGAGGAGGGGGGAGCGAAGGAGCAGGCCAGTCCGCGGGGCCCAGCGGACTCGTGACCCCTTTGCTCCCGAAATTCACGCCCTGGCCGATGAGCTCCCAAGAGTTTCCGCACCCGCCGCGGTGGCCCCGAGGCACGACGACGCTTGCGTGGACGGCCAGATGACCATGTCCCAGCTGTACGGACGGAGGTCGCTGCTTCCCAGAGTCGCAGACGAGGACCTAGGGGGGATTGGAAGAAAAGAAATCGCCTTAAACATCAACTGTCCGAGGTCCTCGCGGAAATCCTGGAGCGGCGTTGGACCCTGAGGAGGAGGAGGAGGAGGAGGAGGAGGAGAAGAAGAAGGTGGAGGAGGAGTAGGAGTAGGAGGAGGAGAAGGAGGAGGAGGAGGAGGAGGAGGGGACGGGGGGAGGAAGGAGGAGGAGAAGGAGGAGAGGAGGGGCAGGGGGAGGAGGAGGAGGAGGAGGAGAAGGAGGGGAGGAGGAGGATCAGGAGGAGGATCAGGAGGAGAGGATCAGGAGGAGGATCAGGAGGAGGAGGAGGTGGAGGAGGAGGAGGAGGGGGCGGAGGAGGAGAAGGAGAAGGAGAAGGAGGAGGGAGGAGAGGAGAAGGAGGAGGAGGAGGAGGAGCAGGAGGGGAGGAGGAGGAGGAAGGAGGAGGAGAGGGAGGAGGGAGGAGGAGGGAGGGAGGAGGAGGAGGAGGGAGGAGGGGGATAAGGAAGGAGGAGGAGGAGGAGGATCAGGAAGAGAGGAGCGGAGGAGGGAGGAGGAGGAGGGCGCGTCAGCGCCGGCTGCCCCCCATACAGGAGGCGCGCGATCAGCTGCCCTTCCCTGGCACCTTGTCGTCCGTCCCGCCCGCGCAAGACGAAGGCGCCCTTTGGGGCGTCGATTTCGTCGTCGTCGCCGCTGCCGTCGGCGTTGCCGCCACCATCGCCACCCCCGCCCTCGGCCTCGTCGGCGTCGTCGGCGGCGGCGGTTTGCATCGGCGTCGGCACAGGCGAGGAGGAGGAAAAAGAAGGAGGACAGAGGAGGAGGAGGAGGAGGAGGAGGAGGAGGAGGAGGGAGGAGCGGGGACGAAGAGTGAGGGGGGACAAGGAGGAAAGGGTGAAAGGAGCGGGGAGCGAAGAGGTTGTAGGAGGAGAGGGAGGATGTACGGTCGGGAACGTTGGCTGAGCGTGTCGCGCCGCGGGTTCTGGCCCACCAAACTGCGGCGAGACGCTAAGCACTTCCACCTCCCAAGAGTCAACGTCCCGAGCAGTTCCCAGCCTCGCGCCCCGCGGAGCGGAGCGACACGCTATCCGATTGCAAGGCATGGCGTGTCGCCGGGGCCGCCGCGCGACACGCTAAGCAAAAGTTCCCGACAGTAGGATGTAAGAGATGTAGGAGGAGGAGGAAGAAGAGGAGGAGGAGGAGGGAGGACGGAGGAGGAGAAGCAAGAGCAGGAGAGGAGGAGGAAGAAGAGGAGGAGGAGAAGGAGGAGAAGGAAGAGGAGGAGGAGGAGGAGCAGGAAGAGGAGGAGAAGGAGGAGAAAGAGGAGAAAAAGAGGAGGAGGAGGAGCAGGAGGAGGAGGAGGAGGAGAAGGGAGAGGAGGAGAAAGAGAAGGAGGAGCAGCAGGAGGAGAACGAGGAGCAGAGGGATGAGAGCACGACACGTCTGCCATCAGGCAGCCGTGCAACCGGGAGGGCGAGGAGGAGGGAATGAGGAGCAGCAGCACCAGGGAGGCGAAGGGCGAGGGCGAGGAAGTGTGGCAGCAGGCGGCGGCGGCAGCTGCCCGTCGCCCGCTGGCGGGGGCGGAGGCCGCCCTGCCCATGCAAGTGCCACGGCTCCTCCCGCGCGCCGGCGCCCCTGCGCCCCCTGAGCGAGAGGCTACGCAGTCGTGTCGAGAGTCTCGAGACGCTCGGGTGCCCAGACATGCTCGCGTCGTGATCAAAAGCCAGGGCGGACACTTGTCCGTCGTCTGCGGCCTCTCGGGGCCCTCACCGGGCCCCGAGAGGCCGCCAAGAACGACACGGGAGAAAGATTCGGCCCCAGGGGACAGGGTTGGGATTTCTGGGGACTGCGTATTGAAAAAATGAGGACGTCGAATGTATGGGATCCTCCTCCCCTCGGTCCCGGAACCCGCCTCCGTTGCCATGTGGCGCGCGGGTGCAGGGCAATAAACGAGGCGTTTCAGAAAGGGTCTCGCCTTCGAGGATTGAAGGAATTGGTATCTCTTCCTCGGCGGAAGGCGGTGGAAAACAAGGCCGCCTCCGCTGGCGGAAGCTGGCGAAAGCAAGAGTCGGCCTCCCGAGAGATGGCAAGGTTTTGTTGGTTCAGTGTTTTCGAGCCTCCCATCGCGAGGAGGCGGGCTAACACGTCCTCGGGAGTGGCACAGCCGCACGCACTGCAGCCCCGTCTACCCCCACACCACCAAAGCAAAACACATCGTCTCCGTCACCGCTTATAGTGAATTTGGGGACCCTTCTTCGTCAGCAGCGAGGGTGAGCTCTAGACCTCCTAGATGGGGTCGGAGTAGATGGGATCGGAGGATAGCGCCGCATCGCGGATGCATCGGCGATGCGGCTCGATGTGGAGGCCGATTTTCTCCACGCCGATGGCGCCGATGCATCGCCGGTGCATGGCCGATACATGGCGGATGCATCGCCGACGTATCGGCGATGCGGCGCGATCCTCCGACCCCAGGAGGAGGAGGAGGAGGAGGAGGAGGAGTAGGAGGAGGAGGAGGAGGCGGAGGAGGAGGAGGAGGAGGAGGGGGGCCGCGGAGGGAGGAAGGCGGGAGGAGAGGCCTCGGGCGGTGCGGGCGTCTTCGCCGCGAGGAGTGCGCAGGAGCCCTCCGGCGCCTGGGGGGCCGGTGTACTGCGAGCTTTAGAAGAAAAACGAAAAGTTGTCAAACAGAAATCGAAAAAATAGATCGAAAAAAAAAATGTCAAAGATCATAAATCATAGATCATAAAGATCAAATATAGTGTCAAAGATAAAATCGAAAGTTGTCAAACAGATCATAAATCGTCAAAAATGATCGACACAATCGTCCCCATACTATCTTTTACTACTCGGGCATGTCCTCCTACGGGCGGGCTTTCGAGGAAGAACGAAAAGTTGTCAAACAGATCATAAATCGTCAAAAATGATCGACCAAATCGTCCCCATACTATTTTTTACTACTCGGGCATGATGTCCTCCTACGGGCGGGCTTTCGAGGAAAAACGAAAAGTTGGCAAAACAAAACATGAACCGTCAAAAATAATCGAAAAACATCGTCCCCCATACTATGTATGTTTTACTACTTTTGGAGATTCATCCTGTAGAGGGGCAGGCCCGACTTGAGTGTACTGAAAGGTGCTCGGTGAAGTCCAGGTTGCCGAAGGGAGTGCACTAGAAGAAGAAAGCGGCATAAGCGTAAACTTGTGGAGTTCCGTATGGAGCGCCAAAAGTTGTTGCTTATGCAGTTTGTTCTTCTTCTAGTGCAGCGCCGTGGCCACCGGAGAGACAAGTCGTGCGAACAGGGATACACTCAGCACATCCTACGAGAAGTCGGCCTGCCAGCAGGTGCACCACGGAGGGTGCTTATCCCCCAATGGCCTGTGGGACCCACAGAAGCCCTTGGGCACCTTAGGACACTCAAAGATCGACGACGAGTGTGCCCCAAGATGTCTCATCGCAAGGTTTGTTCAAAGGCAGACGCCATTCCGCCGACCCCCCGAAGAGGCGGGAAGTCCACGGTTGAGGCGTCGTGGGTTTCTTGGACACTATCAAGGGACTCTTGTGGGCGTCTTGAAAGCTGCTTGGGGGCCTGGCTGAGCTTCTTAGCGGCAGTTTTTGAACATCTTGGGGGGCGCTTGGGGGCCTCTGTTGGGCCTCTTGGGGGCCTCTGGGGGCTTCCTGGGGGCTGGTTCATCGCAAGGTTTATAGATTTGCATGTGTCCACTGCATGGGGCGTTCCAGATCGGGCGGAAAGTCCAGGTCGCCTGCGGGGCGCGAGGGTAATCGCGCGTCGCGGTCTCGGTCAGAGCGGCTGCCCTTCTCCAAGGAGGCGGCGCCAGGTCAGGTGGCCCATGGTAGGCTCATGCGGAAACCTGTGCGCGCATCGACGCCGCGCGAACTTGCCTAAGGATTGTCGACGGAAGGAAGGCATAAACAAAACTTGGCGGAGACCCGCATGGACTTATCGGGTCGGCACGGCAACCCTCGCCTCCGTCGCTGATCCGAGACATCCGCGAGGACCTCCGAATGTTTAGGATGCTTATGCCAGTGTTCTTCTTCTGATAAGCGGCGGAGGGCGGCGGAAGGAAAAGCGAGACGTCAGCACTGTGTCGGCTCGGGGTATGTTCCGGACTTGGGCCATATCATGACCCCGGCGTGTGTTCCCAGCGGGTCGCGTCGTGGGGGTCGGGCCCGCCGCTCCCCTCGGGCCTCGCGAGCCCTGCAGCCTCGAGGGGGGCCCAACTGACAGACTTGAGGGCTCTTTAGGAAACACAGCACACAGAGGAGCTCGAAGGCCTGCCTCTCCTCGGCTTCCGATTCCTTATTATCCTCCTCAGCGTCATCACCCTCTCACGAGAGGACTAAGATGAGGCTGCAGGTCAAACATCGATTACAGAGCGACAAGCGACTGTGCAATTGAAGTCTTACCTGTCGCGAAGACTTCTGCTCTTGCGCCAGTGTTCTTTCCCACGGCGCGTCTGTGCAAGACGTCGTGAGGAAGCGGTGGTCGGACAGCCGCAGGCACTAGAAAGGGGTCGGGGGACAGAGCCTCTTGGAGGAGAGACGTAGAGCACGGCGGTCTCCGGTCCGAAACGGTTCGGGTATCAGCAAGTATCGTGCGTCTTGTCTTGATCAGGTTTACAGTGTGCAAGAGGGCCAGTAGCAATAGGATCTTCAGGCCGTGTTCGTTGAGAATGGCGACCCTCTCTTTCTTAAGGATGTCTCCCCCTCTCTCCTCGAGGTCCCCCCTCCCCAAAAAACAATGCAAATACAAAGGGAAGTCAGGCCATGCAAAGCAACGCAAGTCAACGCAACGCAAATTACAGCAATGCAGCGCAGCTCAAAGCGAGGGACACATAGCAGAGCCTTGCGGGCAGAGCAAGCGACGCAATGCGATGCACGGCACTCCAAGGCAAATCAGCGCCGCAACACATACGTGGAATGTCCGTATATCTACGAACATTTGTTATATTATATATATATACATACATATATATAAACGAATTTACCGTGGGTTCGACGAGCAAATCAATGTGGGGTCAAATCAATCCTGTAGACGATCCTCTACTCGAAAGAAGCCTGTGCACTTGGACTCTTCGACAGAAGCTTCGGCTGTCTGCGAGTAGCCTTCACGAGCATCTTGCGCATCTCGTCCTCGCTGGTCCCGGGCCCGGTGTTCGATGGCCCCTTGGGGCCTGGGACTGGGCTGCGGAGGCCGAAATCGGGGAAAGGCGCCTGGGTCGAAGAATGAGCACGGAAAACGAACATCCAAAACAATAACGATAATAAGGGTAATAGAAGTAGTCATAAGAATCAGTATCAAAATAATTGTAATAACACGAATGGGAATGAAAATATAATGATCGTAGTCGAAGCCGTAGTAGTAGTAGTAGTTGTAGCAGCAGCAGTAGTAGTAGTAGTAGCAGCAGTAGTAGTAGTAGTAGTAGTAGTAGTAGTAGTAGTAGTAGTAGTAGGAGTAGTAGTCGTAGTCGTAGTCGTAGTCGTAGTAGTCGTAGTAGTAGTAGTAGTAGTAGTAGTAGTAGTAGTAGTAGCATAGTAGCAGTAGTAGTAGTAGTAGTAGTAGTAGTAGTAGTAGTAGTAGTAGTAGTAGTCGTAGTAGTAGTCGTAGTAGTAGTAGTGGTGGGAGTAGTCGTAGTAGTAGTAGT